GAAATTGTGTAACTAATTTGAACAGGACATTCTTGACACATGTTGTGAGAGGCATGGCTTAATCTTGATTGATACTGCAGTTAAGTACAAGGACACATGTGTAAAGAACCAAATTATGGTCAATTGAGAAACTGTTATTGAAAGCTGTTTTAAGACCCTGTACAGATAAATAAAGTTGTGGCCAATTTATTATCCAAGAGAAGGCGTGCAGACTCTTTTTGTGCTGGTGCAACAAAGCTAATGGCATTAAATATTACAATATAGCTGAGAAGTAGAGAGCAGACAGCAATCTTTTTGGTGGTCATGACTTTAATATAGCACTGATGCAGAAAGTCTGCTGCAAAAAGGTGCCAAGAGGCTTTTGAGTCAATCCAATCCAGATTAATCTAATAAAACCTGGTTAAGACCTAGTTTTGACATCCTTGACCGGACCCAGCAATTGCCTCTAATCTGTTGATTCCTCCCCTACATTATTCTTGTAGATTTGGAAGACTAAATCGAACTAGATACTGTGATGCAGTTAAACAACTGTAGTTGATCTATTAACTACCTATTAAGAAAATGATCAGTTCATTCATACTCTAACTTGACTATTAAGAAAATCATAAAAATGCCTTTTTGAGATTATGAAGCAAATAGGAGGTAACATACAATTTAAGGTGAATCGTTCCCATTCATTGTTGGATAGGCTATCCACCTTAAATGTTTTCTGTTTTCATTCCGTGTCACAGTGTCACACACAAACCACAATGGGCAGAAAATGAAGTATGCTTTTATTGTTCTGTTCTACCTATTAAAATTGAGCAATGAGTAGGGTGAAAACTAACTTGGATAATAGCATTACCCTTCCTTGCATGACCCAGAAGCCAAGAGAAACACCCAGCTTGTTCTTATTTTCAAATTCTTTAGTCAGCTTCCACTTGATTGTGTGCATTGCATTGTACAAACACCCAACAGTAGATCTGTCTACCCAGAGATCCAGGAGTGTCTATGGTTCGTTGAAAATTGAGCTCTCCCATGTTCCAGCAATGTAAGAACAGACAAATATTTACATTAATCCAGGGGAGGATTTAAAGATTTTGCCATTATACACACTTGGTTTAACTGATTTCTTTTTTCCTTTCTTTTTTTTTTTTTTTCCTTTATGCCTTGGTTTCTATGAAAAAGCAAAACAGTCTTTTAAAAGACTTGCAAAATGAAGACACTGCCATTTGAAGCCCCATTCTTAAGAAAATCAAACATTTTAATACATCCAGAACACTCATTTTCAGTGAGAAAGGAATAAGCAACCTATTCTGTTTGATTAGTATTTCATGTCCTGGGACCTCACAATAATAACAATAACAAATCTGGAATGAGCAGTTTAATTATAGTATTGGTATGTATTTTGTTCCTTCAGAATAATGTGTTTGCATTATTTTTCATATTCTGTATGCTTTTCTGTGAGAATATAATAACTATTAACTTGCATGGTACAACAAAAAGTACAGGACAAATGCCACACTGATCAGTATTAGCAACATTAGAAAGCTGTTGATCAGTGCTGACAAAATTAGGATTAACACTTATATCCTTCTGTCATCCATTTAACAATTACTTTTCAGGTAACAGTTGACAGATACAACATGTGTCTATCACATGGGATGAAAGAATACCATATTTAGTGGTGTTATGGTACATAAAAATGCAAGTTTTGCAAAATGTTGTCCTTGGTTTCTTTCTTGTACAGTTTCAATGTGTTTTCTTTAAAAATCCATTTGAAAGAGACTGCTTATATTCTTATGATTATCTCCATATTCCTTTTCTGAAGTGAGAAGCCTGTGACTAGCCTTCTGGATCTGTATATGTACAGGTAAAAAATCCTTCATGAAACCAGACAGGATGTAATGATCTGTGTTCTAGCAACCCAAGGAAATAAAACTATTCAGGTGGGAGAAACAAAACAAGAGGCCTATTAACAATATAGCTCTTCTAGAATTTGAAAAATAAAGGGTAGAACCATACCCTGATTCTAGCCATGCTTGAGGATATACATTTAAGTTGGGCAGGCAAAGTTAATCTCTTTGGATGCTATTGGACCACAATTCCCATATTGTCTAAGGCTGCTGGGAGTTACAGTCTAACATCTGGAGGGCTGCATGATTCCCACCCCTGCTTTAAGAGGACAAAGAACAAAGCACTGGTGGGAGGATCATAGCACAAAAACTATGCTTTCTGTTCATGCAGCTACTATTGGGAAAATAAGTGTAGTTCTGAGTATGGATATCCTCATGGGCTCCCTCTATGTGCAAACAACAAGAGAATCCCATATATATTGACTTGGAGGAACTGTTGATCCATTTTTCTCATCTTCTGCATCCAAATACCAACAGATTCCCTGCTAGACCAATCTGGGGGGGGGAATGTCATATTTCAACAACTATCATACAAACCACATAAGTACAGTGGGCCTTTGCTATCCATGGAGGATCAGTTCCAGACACACACACCCATGGATAGCGAAAAACGTGGGACCTCAAGTCCTGTTGTTTTCAATGGGTGCACAATCCTGTGTGCACTGGCATGTGTACACACTGCCATTTTAAGAGCTGGGGCTTGCCATCCATGGAGGCTCAAATCCATGGATGGCAAGCCCATGGACAGAGCAGACACAGTGTACAATAATGATTCAGCATAGTTAGAAACCAACGTTCCCCATCCCACGATGGGCACCTCAGTCTTCATCCATACATCAATACTTGCCCACATTAAAATACACTGTGTAGTACTTGAACCATCTTGGAGACTTCTTCATGTAGTCTTACCTGGATCTAGTCCCTCACACAGCACATGTCTGGCATCAAGCTCTCTCTCCATGCTCTAAATATGCCAATAGGGTAAATTTCTAACCTTCGTGACATCTCCTCATGTTCCCCAGAAAGTACTGCAGTAAGGACTGTAGTAGTCATGGATAGTCTCATAACTGAGTTTTTCAGCTGGACAGCCATCTGTTCTATGCATGCAGGCTAAAAGAACTGGCTCCAGTGTCATGGAAGGAGCTAAAACAACATATTCTTGCATTAGAGCAATCTGTGAGGAAAAGATAGAATTTATCTAAGAAACCTCTAACTCTGATTTTCATTTTGATACAATTTGGATTCTTGAAGGTATGGGAAACTATAGGTTAAACATTAGATGCTGTGATGCAATTGAATAATTTCAGTTTATTTGTTATCTGTCTTTTCAGGAAATGATTCATTCATCCATACTCTAAAACTATCAAATCTTAACAGAAATCTCTTTTTGAGGTATTGAAAGCAGGGTGAGAAAGTGTTCAATTTAACATGAGTAGCTCCCATTCATTGTTGGAGAGGAGGTCATCTTAATTTTTCCCCAAGTTTCACTCCACAGTGAAAACAACAACAGACAGAAAAACAAAGATGTGTGCTCTTAATACTCAGTAGGGGTGTCCTGTGTAAAATTATTCATTCCTGCAAGTGAGAACAAAGCAAAGTAATCAGGTTTCTGAAGGCAGATATCTTTGAAAACTATTCAGTATTTGAAAGAACTTCTAGCATCAGGGAAGAGGGAACTCCTGGCCTACCCCACATGACATTGAGAAGACGTGGGGAGAGCAGCTAAGGATCTGGAGGCTATAGCCTTCCAGGATCTTTTCTTAGCTATTCCACACCCACTCACTGGGTGACATTAGGAGGTAAGTCTGTGTCTGGGTGGGAGAAACCAAGAAAAGGGCTTGAGGAGAATTCTCCCCATCAGGCTTCTGGAATGTAGGAAAAGCCCCTTTCTTATTTTCTTCCCCCTCTTGAACACTCAAACATTCTTCCCCCCCACCTTAATATTCAGTCACAATTATTAAAAATTGAGTTTGCCAGAGAAGCATATCCAAATAATTATTAAA